GCTCCAGCGTGGGTCCCCCGTGGGGTCACAAGTCCTGCCAGGAGTCTCTTCCAGCGTGGACTTCCCATGGGGTCACAGCCTACTCTGGGCCCATCCACGTGCTCTGGCGTGGGGTATTCCATGGGCTGCAGGTGGATATCTGCTCCACTGTGGACCTCCGTGGGCTGCAGGGGGGCAGCTGCCTCACAGTCGCTGACGGGCTTGGTCTTGGCCAGCAGTGGGTCCATCTTGGAGCCGGCTGGCATTGGCTCTGTCGGACACAGGGGAAGCTTCTAGCAGCTTCTCACAGAAGCCACCCCTGTAGCCCCCCTGCTACCAAAACCTTGCCATGCAAACCCAATCCACTTTATTAACAAAAACCCCACTTTTTGAAGTGAAAGATACACAAGAGAGCTCATCTACCTGACTTTCAGTGAAGCTTGAATGCATGGTATGTGGGCAACTATGTGAAACTGCATGAACACTAGTATTGAAAGCACTCTGTAAGAACGGGCTGAGAAGAGCACTGACACCAATGAAATGTGCTGATGTTAGTGTTTTACTTCTGGCATTGTGCAGAGAAATGCTGGGATTTATGGAACTTGGGGGTCTATGGAAAATTAAGCAAATGTTCTTAGGGGGTGTTGTTACTTTACTTTGGTGTTCTCTTTCTTTCCAGGTATTCCTTCAAAGTGAGCTGATGCTCCATATGTTATATTCAGAAATCTTACCATTTCTGGACTGAGAATAAGTCTGGTTTCTAGTTCTTGCAATATTGTTCTGCTGACCTCTAGAGCAGATTTTTTTTTTAGTCAGTTTGTTCAGCTTGTAGAAAAGTACACGTGTATTTTCTTCATCTTTTTTGGTGTGGACATGAAGGTATCATTTAAAAAAAGCAGCAACATAACATTGCATTAACAGTATGTGTAATACAACTGATCTAGATTAATTAGAATATGTGAAATCATGCCTGTAATTTCATTAATGATCCTGACTTATCCTTTCTTCAGTATCTTTCATGTAAATCAAATTAATAAGATTAAAATTATGTTTTGAAGTTTTAATGAAAGCCTTTAAATGGTCAGTTACTTTCATAGAATGTCATTAAAATAACATTAAGGATCAGTTATTCCCACAGTAAGAATTAGGAATAGACTTTTACTTGCACTTTTATGTTTAGTTTTCTGTAGAGCTTCCCTCCCTGCTTGTATTTTTAGCAAACTCAGCAGTTAAGGCTGTAAACTACTATTATGATGTATTTTAATAAAATCTGGTTTGGAGACTCCTTATTAACATAAAAGGTGAAGAAAAGTCCATCTTTAATGAAAGTGTTTGACCCATGTATTATTTCAGATTACTTTCAGTTATGTTACATGTTTCAAAAAAACTTGCGTATACAATCAGTGAATGAAAACATTTTACTGCTGTATACTAATATACGTGTGTGATAGAATATTAAAAATGAAACTAAAAGTGTAACCTTTTCCTGGTCCGCCATTCTTAATTCATTTTAGTCTAATTTGATTTCCAGAACTTATTAATAGAGTTTTCCTTATGTAAGTGCTTCTTCGCTCTTATTGAGAGGCCTAATACCATGTTTTAAGCCCAATATGCTAATGCAGAGTTTATCCCCCAGCAGACATTAATGTCTTAGTGAGTGTTAAGTGGAAGATCTGCATGCTGTTCCTCTGTGTTCTGAGAACTTGCATGGTATGAAAATGTTACATTTTTAAAGCAGCACCCTGAAGTTAGCCACCCACTAACTAGCTAAAAAAAGCACTGAAATCAGTTCATGATGTTAAATTATACAAGTAAGGTAATTGTTTAATTCTTAATTAATTCTTTAATTCTTTTCTGAAACACAGTACTAATTACAAGCTTCTCAGGATATGGTTAACACAACCTGGTGATTTGCAGGCTATCCCTCCACTTGCTCAGAAGATATTTATGTAAATTAGAACAGCCTGAAGATTTTGCCTATGAGAGTTCTTTCAGTCTGTGTGATGTATCCTGTGCACCCTAAAATAAAATGTAGCATGAAATATTAGTTATTTACAACATTCTGAATGAAAGGTAATGTCTGTTTTAGCAGTCTTTCTGAGAATGTTGCAAAAATTATCTTTAAAAAAAATTACATAAATGCACATGGTTAGTCATATAAATTCAAAAACTTTTGAGTCTGAAAACCTGAGACAAAAGTAAGTTTCGTTCAGGTCAGTCTCCCTCTTCTTCCTTTCCCAGCCTGACTTGGTAGGGGTTGTGCCTGGTTATACTGTAGTGTTATTTTAACTTTCTGTTTATAGGTGTAATTGAGGATCTGCATGCAAGCAGCTTTGGGCGGGTTTTCAGATTGTGTTTGCATTCTTATACTCCCTAGCACTCTTTCTGCATCTACATTGTTTAACCAGAAATACAGCAGTAGGGTTCATTTGTACAGTCTCTGACACCAGTTCTTCTTTCAACAGTGCGTTTATGTTCGGATCGACTTAGTCTCATCAAGGACTGTCTTGCTCAGTTGTCAACAAACTATAAGCAGTCTGCTAAGCTCCTGGGACTTGCAAATTTGCTCAGGGTTGCAGGTAAGCTGTGTTAATAAGACACTGATTGCAATGCAACATGCGTTTGTGTTTATGCTTTAGGACATTGGAGTTGATCATTAGAATCTGTGTTCAGGGATGTCACTAAAAAGTTATCTAGAAGAGCAGTCATTGGGGAGGAATGAAATATTTTACATGATTGAAATATTTTATCTGTAAAACAGCTGATACTGTCAGCTGTTCTGATGTTCCACTAATACCTAAAACAAAAACAGCCTTGTCTAATCTGGATTTTGAGTAAAAGCTCATTTCATATTGGAAAAGTTGTGGCTGAGAATATTTTGTTTTACAGTTAATTGGTAGTACTAAAATTCCAGTAAATCTTGTTGTCTCTGTCAAATAAGGTAGTTTGGTTTAATAATAGTCCAGTTTAAGTTAGAGGGGGAAAAAAGTCATCTGTAATCCATAAGCTTCAGCTCTTAGACTTTTGTCTGTGCTTCGTGATCTCATTTGTGCACTAAAAATAATCCATTAGCTTGAGTATTCATTTGAGAAACTGAAGATCTTCAAGGATTGAATCCTAAAGATAATAGATTTTTTTTTTTTTTAGATAGCATACCTATGAAGTGTCTGCCAGACCTTTTGATTTTTGAAAAATACTTCATCAGTACAACTGCAAATATAATACCGGTATATTTTTATGATTTAGAAAAACACCCTATGATTACTGATTGTGAAAGACCTGCTTGCTACATCTATCCATACCTATATAAATTTTATACATACATGTATATAGAGAGTATATAGTATATGCTGTGTTATACTATATATAATATATAACCTGTAAAATACTATGAGCATATATATTTTAATTACAATTCTAAAAGAATGCATTTGCTATGCATACAAGGGTAGAGTGCACATGGTCATCCTCAAAGAGCTTTGGGAGCGGTGTTCTCTGAATAGGTTGTTTAGGGAGCAGCACTGAAAATGCGTAATAGAATTTATATTCATAGTTATCAAAGCTAAAAAATTGCTTAGGTAATGATATATCAGCTAGCTTCTTAATTGCTTTAAAGTATTTAATTAAAGACAGTAAACTCTACTTAAGACTCACATCACTACCTCTGTAAAGTAAGCACACAAGTGTTATCTTAATTTCACAGATGGGCAAAGTGAGTGAGAGAGAATGTGCTCAGCATGACAGCCAGAAAATCTGCACCTGCTCAGGGAGCTGGAGATGTTCTGTGTCTCATGATCCTCACTTAATCCACACTCTCACTTAAGAAAGGGTGTGAAAGAATTCACTTTGTGTAATTACTTGCTTACAAAATAGAGGAGCAAAAAAAGACTTTAAAAAAAAAAACACTTATGTATCAGAAGTTAAGACAATCTTCTCACTGTTACTGTGTATCAAAAAGATCTAGCGAGCATTGCTCTTTATTTCTTGAGTCAGGCTTTCTAGAAATGTCTTCTGTTCATTATTCTCCTTTCTCACAACTTTCTATGGTAATTTAGTTAATTTTAATATCCATAGGCTAATTCTAGTAAATTTAAGCTTTGCTCACATTCCTGAATCAGAGCTTATTTTTGAAATCCACCTTCCTCAACACTGACTTTCTTGCTTAATGCATGTGGAAGTAACCATACAGATGACTTCTGATCTTCTAAGTGTAAGTGTCATGGAATTTCTGGAGTATACATACATTTTTGATACCATTTGACTTTTAAGTTTTTATGACATGGTTTCACTAAGGATAATGTTTCACTCACACACAAATACAGCATGCATCTTAACCATGTTTAAATAAGCTTTTTTCTTTTTTTCCTTTATATGACCCAAATTGGATCCAAACTTTTTAAAAGTATTTGAACATCCTTTATTTCTCATGAAGAAATGATTTTCTGTTACTTCTGAGCTTCTATATTTTTCTTCTCAGCTTTTGTAATAGAATCATAGAATTGTTGAGGTTGGAAAAGACTTTTAAGATCATGGAGTCCAACCATTAACCTAGCACTGCCAAGTCCACCACTAAACCATGTCCCTAAGCACCACATCTACCCGGCTTTTAAATAGCTCCAGGGATGGGGACTCAACCACTTCCCTGGGCAGCCTGTTCCAATGCTTGACAACCCTTTCCATGAAGAAATTTTTTCTAATATCCAATCTGAACCTCCCTTGGCGCAACTTCAGGTTGTCTCCTCTTGTCCTATGGCTTGTTACTTGGGCGACTGACACCCACCTTGCTACAACCTCCTTTCAGGTATAATGTCATATCTGCTTGTATCAACTTCTGTCTGAATGCTAAACATCATAACAAAAGGAGGTGGAAAGAACTTTGGAGACTTAAATCTTACTGAGTGGAGTAACCCTTAGAATATATACATGCATTTTCCTTATAATGTAAGGAGGCAATAGTCCAAAGGAGCTGAACACACACAAACCTTCACAAATAATAAAAGGAAACAAAAACTAAGGTATCCTTTCCAGTTTCTGAACTTGATTTGTTTGAGTCTGCATGTCAGACATTAACATTAAGGCTTAATGCAGAATTCCTATGTAATATAATAAGGGCACCATTTTAATTTTTTTTCTCTTTGAACCTTTCTTGGTTTTAAATCTTGGATGTCTGTCAAAATGGCAAGGGGAACAATTCAGAATTCAAAACGTCCACTTCTATAAGACTTTTTATTAAAAATGCCCTCAAATGAGGCATCACAAATCTGAAGCGGTGATTCATGTTTGAATAGAAGAACAAGTCCTTGCCCCTAATCTGCAGCAGGTAGTATTTTAAGTGACGGCACTGTTGAGGCAATGAAAGCTGCCTGAAAAAGGGCTTGGGCTGTGCATTGCAGAGGATTCACTGATTGTGTTGGAGCTGACGGTTGTTCTGTGGCGTAACAGTGTGTGTCAAGATAATTGAAGTTTAAATGAGTGAACAGTGAAGATAAGATGAGCAAGTATACATATGGACTGGAAGGAAAACGATCCTTGTATTTTATGCTTGCGCTTTTTAAAAATATGTAGAGATGTATCCTACTGTATCAAAACTAATTAGCTAAAAGATTGGGGATGGCGGACTTGTCAGCTTACGACTGCTCAAGCACAGTTAAGAAGAAAACCATTCCTTGCTCCAAGTGTTCCTTCTCTCTTCCGTCCAATCCCACTGATTTTTAAGTAGTAATAAATAGCAGTGGTTATTTTGTCTAGTTGAAATCTGAGGGACAATAGGTTGGTTATTTCTCTTGCCTTTTATTTGTGTCTGCTACTTAGTCAAATCTCTCTGCAAGTAGAAAAGCTGTCAGGGCGAAGGCAGTATTGGAAGGTGAGTGGCAAGTACAGATCTCTTGCTTATAGAAATGACAGTTCACATTTAGCTTGTGTAGATAGAAGCACCTCTTTTTCATCTGTAATTGCTTTTGCCCAGATGAGAAACTCCCAGGTTCCAGAAAGGAGAATTTTGCAGCAGAAGAGCCTTGGATGTGATTAATTTGCAACATTGTGTGTTGGCAGTAAATAGAGCAAGAGGCCAAAAGATAAAATAATGGGAAGCCAACCTGTTCTCCCAGCTGAGTTAGTTATGACGTGCTGGGATTAGGGGAATCTTGATTGAGTTCAATAATAAGGGTAACTTCACTTCCCTGATTGTCATTCTAGTGCAACTGCTACATCTTTTCTTCTGAGAAAGCTTTAAAAAGAAATTTGCTTTGCCTGCGTCAATAGACCTACAAAGTAGAGTTAAAAATAACAGCTTTGCAATTTAATAACGTGTACTCTTTAAATGGTTTTTGGAACTGGATCGGTTTAACCTTCTGAAATATTTGCATTTTGCAAGTTGTAGTAATACAGTTTCATAAACCAGTGCCCTTTTCAAATGACTGTAACAGCAGTGACTGCATAAAATTGCTTTTAATAATAGGGGAGAAACATGAGCAAGATGCTTGTATTTAAAAAATTCACTCATTTTTATTAGCTTCTTGCCAACCTTCTTTCCTAAATTAAAATGAATACTGTGAGATTATTTATCCTTTGTATGTTTAGTCACCTTCTCGTATAGTGCATGGACGTACATGCTATTTTGAGCACAAGAATGGACCAACTGGTGTCAGTAAAGTAAATAACTTTCATGAGATCAGTAGTATCTGAAATGTTACTTTTGACTCATAACTGGGGGAAGAGGCCCTGTCCAGAAGGTCTGGTGACCAAGATACGTGTATGGTGTGAAAAAATGGTTTCAGTTCTACTCGCTCAATTTCTGAGGGTAGGGATTTTTAAATACCTGTGTCTTCCACATCTCATCAATTATTTGGCTCTGTGAAGTCGGAGTTTAAACTGGGGCTTTGCATACTGTAACAAAACAATTAAAAGTTTCAAAATTCTTCTATTACAGTTCACAAAAGTTTTTTTTTTAAATGTCAGGTTTTTGATTTATATGCCACATGCCTTAACTGTCAGTTTTGATCTGTCTTGGCCATCATATAAATACAGTTTTCAAAACTTTTTTTTAACCTAGACATAACATGCTGTGTAGTTCTTTTTTTAGGCAGCTATGATGCCACTGTTTTTCAAAATACAGAAGTGTTTTTATTGTTTCCTTCAGGAAAAAGCAGATAATTTTATTTCTGCTTCCATTTCAAAGCAGGCTTTTCATGTTGTGGCATATAGTTTTCTTAAGAAATGAAGTAGGAGGCTTAAGTCTACCATTATTTCCAATTAACTAATTAAAATGTTGAATTTTTCTTACAGGAGATGATCAGATGGAGAGAAAAGGTCAAGTTTTAATACTTCTAGTGGAACAAGCTCTTAGTTTCCAGGACTACAAAGCAGCTAGTATGCATTGCCAGGAGCTCATGGCCACAGGTGAAGTGAATAAATGGGGGCTGGTGTGTGGTGATGGTAGTGGAAATCTGAGTTCTGACTCTCATCTTACTGTGAAGTATGGTACTTCAGATTGGTCCATTTCATTCAAAAATCCAGTTGTCATGGAGGGAGGAACTCAATGTAGTCATGGAACTACAAAATACTTAAGCCACAGTGACTTCTGGAGCAATATTGGCATTGTTCTAAATCAGTTTAGTTCATTGAGATCTCTCAACTGAAGCTGTATACTGTCATTCAGATAATCCTTTATTTTTTGCATCAGAAGCTCAAAATATATCCCAGTAGGGATTCCATTCTTAATTGTCTCCTCAGTACTTTTTTTCTTGTAAGAAAGCAAAGGAAAAAGTTTTAATTTGTCATGTTGTTTAAATGCAGTTTACTATGTTTTGGTATCATGTTTTTGTTAATGGATGTTCATATGTAACACTATTGAGATTAAACGTGTGTTGGTCCATACATATAGATTATCATTTATACATAGTCATGTTTCTTCTCTGTAAAATTCTTTATGGAAATATATTTCATTATCTATCTTAAGATGTCTTTCAGTGTGCAAAACATTCACATAGTCTAAAATCTTTCTCTGCAATTGCTATCCCGCTTGTTCATCTCTGGAAATAAGAAGTAAAATTTTGTTAGCCAGCTGGGTAGGGGTCTTGTGTTTAGTTTTCAATTTAAAAACAATGTTATAGGCTGAAGTAATAAGTGCTGACTTATGTTTCTTGCTCAGTTGTGTGCACATTATAAAAGACAGTTCAGGTATCTTTAAACTGGGCCTATACTTTTGGAGAGACATTTGCCAGGTCCTTTTGGATATCTCCAAACTTAATTTCTTGGCTTTCTGACAAAAGATGCATGTGATGTATATAGGAGCTGACAGCCAGATTCCTGTAATCTCCTCCTAATGCAGGAAAAATGGATCCTAGCTGTTTGTGATATTTCTTTTGAAAGACAGAACCATGCAAATGTTTTTGCCATGTGTAATGCACAAATACATGGAATGGAGATGTACGCAGTAAAGACTGTATGTAATAAGATAGTTACTGAACTATTAGCATGTAACCTTAGGGAGATTTTTTGTATGCCTCTGGGAACCACAATTTCTCATTCTTTCTACACTGTACCCCTTTCAAACAGGTAAAAATATGTGACTGCAGCTAGTAGGAATGTGCAGATCTTTTAGATGTCTACCTTTCTACCAAAACTCTTAAAATATTTGTGGTATTTGTGTAATTTGTAGATGTGAGGGTATGAGTGGAAGTAAATGACATATATGTGTCAAGATACTAAGGAAGATGGGATTTGTTTCTTTGGGTCTTTTTTCTGCCTTGAGATTGAGGGGGGAATATCTGAGATGAATTGAGGTTCTTTTAATTATATCAAGTGATATATTTTACTTTTTTTTTTGCAGACACTCCAGTAAGGTATTTAATACCATGCTCTGAAGTAAATTGTGATTTTCTTACTGCAGTAGGTAAAAATACAGTGTGTAGGCTTACAGATGCCTATTATACTGGTATCTACAATATGATAATAATGAATCTTTGCATTTGGTCAGTCTGAAGTTGAGTTACATCGCTGTTTTGTGGAGCCTTTATGGCTCCCTTCTCAGGCGATAATTTTTGGGAGGGATGG